AGGCTGCACAGCTGAGGTTCGGTGACCTCTCTTTTTTCTCCACATGGTTCATCCCAGCCTATGTCTTCCTTCTCCATATTGTCCTGCATGGATGCTACCACATGGAAATATGCAAAATAGCTGCAGTAAGCAATAGGTAGAGAATTTGCTCTACTGAGGGGCAGAGCAAAAGAAGGGGACAGAATGAACATGTATGTGTTAATTATCCAATAAGTGCCAGGCATTTTCATGCTATTTCATTGAATATTTAGAAAAGGAAACCTGATTCTACAAATGAGAAAATTGAGGCTCAGAATGGTAAAGTATTTCTCCCATGGTCTCAGAGAAGATAAACAGTGAAGACCAACTTCGTTTCTCCACAAAACTTTCTCCTGCCACCTCAGCACATTATCTCCAAAATAATTCTCTTCCCTGCTCTTGCCTCCACTTAAGTGTGCACTGAGAGGCCCAAGGCATCATTATATATCTTTAAAGTCAACCTGACCCTGTGGCATGTGGAAAGAATCTAGCAATTTAGTACTATTTGAGCAAACAGTGCCTTAAGATTAATTAAATATCTGCAAATAAATTATACATGGTGGAGTCTTTCTTTTGAAAAGCCACATGCCACCTGAGTAGAAAAACTAATGCTGGGGAAGACCCAAGATGGTGGAGGACTAATTAGAAGCTATACTATCTTCCTCCCAGGACCAATCTGGAATTATAACTAAATTATAGAGAAATCATTGAGAATAAACAACTGAACACTATCCGAAGAGAAGTCTTACAACCATGGACAGATGTAAGAAACAATTTCACAACAATATGACTGGTAGAGAGTGTAAGGAGATGTGAGAGGGCTGGCTGGGCTCCCATGAGTGGCAGCTGAAGTTCTAGAGGAATATTTCAGCAGCTAGGGTGGGGGTGGGAGCCTGAGCAGTGTGGGGTCTAAGCCCCAAGCTGAGCTTCTCAGACTACAGCACCAGAGCCAGAAAGAAACCCAGATAACATCCAGCTGTGAAAAGCAGCAGGGTTTCTCTCCGCCAGGGAAAGATGGCTGGACATGCAGAGAGCCTCTTGAAAGAGCCAATGCACAAAATTTCATTTGCAGCCATTCACCCTGGACTCCAGCAGAGGCAGGGCAGAGTGGACTACAGACGCCAGAGGAGAATCTGGGGCTGGTGGCTCTTGGGAGAGAACTGAAGGATCAGCCACCAGGATCCCTGTGCTGAGTCATTTCCCACAGAGCAGAGGCCACCTTTCTCAGGCAGAGCAGTCCCCTCCAAGTGGCATCAGCCTGAGGGGAAGCAATAGCCCAGCCCAAAGGAATTGCCCTGCCTCACCTGGTGGTGCTTAAGCCTGACTATGGATTACAGCTCAGTTTGATCAGATTAACCACTGATTGGTTTAACAGCTGATTAGTTTAACATCGAAGGTGGAAAATACAAAGAAGCATCCAAAATGGGAAGACAAAGAAACAGACCCCCAAGTGAAAGAACAAGAGAATTCTCCAGAAGAGTTAGATGAAATTAAGGCAAGCAATTTATCAGAGAGTTTAAAGTCATGATTATAAGGATACTTGATATCATGAAAAAAGACATAGAAACCATAAAAAAAAGGACCAGTCAGAAATAAAGAATGCAATATAATACACTGAAAAGAATAAATAATAGGTTAGTTAAAGCAGAGGATAGAGTCAGTGTTTTGTAAAACAAGTAGGAAAAAATACCCAGGCAGAGCAGAAAAAAGAAAAAAGAATTTTAAGAATATGAGGAAAGCTTAAGAAACATTTCAGACAACGTGAAATGTAACAACATCTACCTCATGGGAATACCAAAAGAAGAGAGTGAGCAAGGGATCTAGAACCTATTTGAAGAAACAATGACCAAAAACTTCCCTAATCTGGTGAAGGAAAAATCACACAAATCTAGGAAGCTCAGAGAGTCCCAAACGACGTGGTTCTAAAGAGGCCCATATTGAGACACATCATAATCAAAACAAGAAGGCTTAAACACAAGGAGAGAATCCTTGTGTTTAAAAGCTGCAAGAGAAAAGCAGGTAGTTATATACAAGGAAGCACCAATTAGACCGGCATTTGATTACTCAACAGAAACATTTCAGTCCAGAAGCCAGCAGTGTGAAATATTCAAGATGATGAGAAGCAAGAACCTACAACCAAGGTTACTTTATCCAGTGAGGCTATCATTTAAAGTTGTTAGAGAAATGAGAAACTTCCCAAACAAGAAAAACTAACTCTGAATTCAAAATGTCCGATACTATAATGTTGACTAGAGAGTTAATTTTAATTAACTTTCTTTTGAATTAGCTTTAATTAATGGCTTACAAGTAGTGAGTTATTATCTTTCTCTGGGCATAAATAAAGTTATATGAAATAAGGGATGAGGTCTAGAATGGAGAGGGAGACGGTCAGAGGAAATTATGTCCCCTCTCTCTGAGATGCTACCCCAGACCTGAGCTTGAAGTGGAGAACTAAGCTCCCAAGACCCCACACAACTGGTTCCATCACACAACCTACATACTGTTGTTGCCCAAAATGTAATCCACCCAGTACCTATGTTGGAATCTCCTGGCACCTTTGTTGGAATACCACTTCCTGCGGCTCACTCAGGCTTACAGGTTCAGATTCTCTGAGGATGATGCCCTGGAACCAGCATTTTAACAAGCACCCCTAGATATTTCTAATTCATCTCAAGATTTGAGAATAGCTTTCAGAGCTCAGTAAAAATGTAAAGATCATGATGATTCCTCATACTTATTTATTTTGTTAGGGTAAAATTTTCTGTTTAGAATCTTGAAATGTTTAAGTAAATAAGATATTTATCTTAGCAACTCTAAAGGCAAGGCATTCCCACCTTCAAAATGAGGGCTATCAAGGCTTGACGTATATATGACAGATCTTCCTTTACACGCAGTTAGACATCAACTGCTTGCATCTAGGAGCAGAGCAGTAATGTCCCAATCAACTCGGTGATCACTGAATTGATTGGGACATTTTATACCATAAATCGAAAACAGTCCATTAACTCATCTTTGTATCCAATCCCTAGTTAATTTTATCTTGTGGGGGAATGACATTTTTCTAAATTTATTACTTCAGTATGTTCCTCAGTTAGGAACAGACTTTCTGACTCAACTACTAATTGCATATCCAGTATACTCTTTTATTCTTCTTCTGTATGACACCTAGCAAAAGTAATTTTTCTAGGTAAATTACTTCCTTTTCTTATTCTTTACCACTGGTTAAAGCCAGTCCTCAAACTTACTCTCTTGGCTGCTATCCTACTAATTAAAACTCTGGAGATGGGAAATTAATTTGTAAAAAGAATCCTGAGCCCTGGCTGGTGTAGCTCAGTGGATTGAGCGCGGGCCTGGGAACTAAGCAACCACAGTTTGATTCCCAGTCAGGGCACATGCCTGGGTTACAGGCCAGTTCCCAGCAGGGGACACACAAGAGGCAACCATACATTGATATTTCTATCCCTCTCTCCTTCCCTTCCCCTGTAAAGATAAATAAATAAAATCTAAAAAAAAAAAAAGAATCCTGAGCCCTAGCTGGGGTGGCTCAGTGGATTGAGTGCTGACCTGTGAACCAAATGGTCACCAGTTTGGCAATCAGGGCACATGCCTGGATTGTGGTCAGGTCCCCAATAGGGGACACAAGAGAGGGAATCACACATTGATGTTTCTCTCCCTTTCTTTCTCCCTCCCTTCCCTGCTGTCTAAAAATAAATAAATAAAATCTTTAAAAATAATCCTGAGTTGAACAGCTCCTTGTGGTTAGGCAAACACCTCTGATCTTTCCCCAGTTAAGCGGTTTCTGTTCCTTTGCTTCTTATGACTTGCCTTGAGCCTAAGGGTTCTCTCGAACTTTGGGGGGTCCAGTACACAGGCAATAACTCATCAGTATTGGAGCTTAGCGGCCTCCCATTTGGGGGAGCTCTGAGAGTTTGATCATCTCGGAAACATAATAGCAAACTCCCTGAATATGCACAGAGAATATTTTTTTAAGCACCACAAGAAAATAGGAAACCAGCATTTATTTATTGCCAAATACAAGAGTTACAATTCAAAACTGTCACTGACTCTGAAGAATCTTTATTGAGGAATAGTAGCTTCAAACTGACAAGTCACAATAACTGTACTTTTGCTAACCAAACTGGTGGGGGAAAGCTCAAAAACATCCCACCCCCATCTCTATTTTCTTCCCCTAAAAACACATGTCTTTCACTGGCCAGGCCACTACTGATAAAGTTACCACCGATGAGCATGGAACAGTAAGTATTAGACATTAAGTTGTCCGTGCCATTTGTAGAAATCCTGATTTTGGAAAAGGAAGTGTAGAAGACACACTCATAGAAGACATTTTGCACCTTAAAATGGAGCTGCTTGCTTTGATGCAAATGGCTATGGGTGTGCGTTAGGGGAGTGAGGCAGTCTCTTAGACTATCCTTTCCAGCATTGCAAGCTGTTCCATTTGAATCATTATTAGTAAGTATATTATCTGTTGAATGATCATGTGAGTGAAATCAATACTTTTCTTATTCTACGCGTACAAAGGACTCAATAACACTGATCAAATTTTCCCTCCTCTATTATTCCTTTCACAATAATTTTACGTAGCGCCTAGCCTGTGCCAGGCACTGTGCCTGGCGCCAAACATGCAAAGATGAGTGACGCAAGGTTCTAGTCTATTAATAATCTCTCAAGATTTGCGAGGGTATAGCCTTGCTCCCTCTCCCACGACAGCCTGGACGGCTGTCCAACCAATGGCTCCCAGCCTCTGGGACTCCCGGCCTCTGGGCGCAGGTACTCCAGGGCCAACCCACGGACCTAACGCCAGAATTCTTCCGGCGTTCCCCAGCTGGCGAGCACTCAAGTTCAATCCAGAGCCTCAGCGCTCGCTCCCAGGGAGCGAACTCTGGGCTCGCAGGGCACCGCGAGAGATTCCCTTCACCTGTCCGCCCGCCCGTCAGGCTGCGCCAGACCCCTTGTCCGCTTACTTTGCCACTGTCGCTCACGCCAAGGAGGTGATCCCTCAGCACCTCCATGGGGCAGGTCCAAGTGGAGTGGATGAATGTCCCTCGGAAGATATGAGCCAGGGGTGACATCCCGGCGGCACACATATCAGCGACCGAGCGCTGCGCGGGGTCCGCGGACCAAGAAGGGCGCACCGGGGTGGAGGCGCTGGGAGAGCTCCTGCGACTCTAGGTGGCTGCTGAGCGGGCACTAGCTCTGGCCTGGTCCTGCCCCCGCTTTCCTCAGCGATCACTGGCCCCCTTGCAGGCCGCGCCCAGGGGCTGGCTCCCTGCCTCCTGGATGCCAGTAAGATTTTCCTCCCGGGAGCTGACTCCCCGCTCCGGTGGGTGTGGTCTTTCTCTCAAATCACCGCTTACGTTACAGTTCTTTTAGTCCGGTGGCTGTCACCCAGCTAGGGGGCGGGAAATGAAGGAAGGAGCTAGAGGAGTCAGGATTCCAGCCCTGTACTTTTAATTGGTCGCTAAATACGTTACTGTTCTCTGTTTCCCAAGCTCTTCCACCTTTCTCGGCATACCTGGAGTTGCATCTGCCTGTTTTCTATGTCCTTCAAACTCTTACGGCTGTTTGTGGTCACACCTGGGACTCTTCAACCTTTAGCAAACACAGGATCTCAACCAGCATAAGTTCAAGCAAAGCGAAAAGGTCATTTAGGGCTGCAAACCTTATAGACAAGTTTCATTTTCAGTTTCTGCTAGCTGCAGAATGTGTCCTAACCTATGTTCTGGAAGCATAATTTACAGAATTACTAGGGGCCCCACCACTGGAGGTCAATCTGGACCCCAAAGTACTTCTCTTTACCTTGAGGCCAATATTTTAGCCCTTCTGTTTATCCACAAACAATTCCAATTCTAATTTTCCTCATACCTAAATTAACGTCTTAGATTTATTTTCAGTTGTACAGGGGGAGAAAATTACATACTCGAGCGAAGTAGCAAGGAACGGCAGTGTGGCATGGCTTAGTGGGAAAAGCTCTGGGTTAAGAACCAAGAGACTATGGTCAATGTTAGGGTGGTCACCACAGGCTGTGAAAGAATTCACAGAGGGAAGAAAGTGTAGAGAGTAGAAGTTTTTTACTTTCCTGAGAGAGAGAAAGGGCTACATTCGGAGATATGCACTGGCACCAGCCCTCAGGGGTAGGGGCTGTGAGCTTTTATCCGGTAATGGGGTGTCTGTGAAGCAGGGTCTTTCAGCTGGGCTACAGCAGATGTTATCTTTGGTTGCAGCATCTAGTCTCGATGTAGTCTGGTGCATCCTGTTTCCCTGTTTCATAAATTCCTGGAGTCTCTGTGCCTTTTGGGCACTTCTAGTAATTTTCTAGTCCTGAGGATAAAGGCTTATAAGACAATTAGGGTCAGTCATGCTTTAAGGGGTCCAGCCAGCTCTGGGAAAGAGGGTCTGAGGAAGTAGCTTTTGTCCTGTTATCCCCTCCTCTGGTTTTTGAGATGGATTTATTCATAATGACCTGGACTTGTTCTGATTCTGGGGAGTAGAAATGAAGGACTCTTCTTCTGGAACTGCTTCCTGCAGATTATCTGTCCCTGCCTGTGGATCCAAGTATGGGTCATTAAGAGGGAGAGAGTGGAATTGGACAGCCCAAAAGGCGAGTGCTGTAGCAGTGGTCATTTGCAAAAGGAGTCTCCTAGAGCTTGGATGCTTTGTTGGATGAAAGACATAAGGTATCCTAGGAGACATGGCCCAAAAGCAACAATAAAGAGAAAAGCTGCGAGAGGACCTAGGAAAGGAGTCATCCAAAAAAACCAGAACCAGATATCGGCCTTAAAATCCCAAAAAGGGAAAGGCAGAGTAGTAGGGAAATTCTGTATGGCTGACACTACATCAGTAATTCTCAATAATTCAAAGCCAAAGGATGAAAGAGAAAAATGAAACATTAGCTTGGAAGAAAACTAGAAAAATCAGGATTTAATTCAGTTTGTGTGTGAAAATTGGACATTGTGATTTCCATTGAAACACAATTTCTCTCCCTAAAATCACCCTCATTTTATTAAAGACAATGATGCAGTAAGCCCAGTTTCAATATGTCCTGATTCTTTGTATGAACACCAGAAGGATAGTAATTGATCATATAGGCTCTTTCGAATCTGCTCTGCTGGAATTGTACAAAGAACCTTCACACTGAGCTTTAGTCAGCCATGCAGGGCAAAGGCAAGCCACACAGTTGCCATCTGGCTTTGTCTGAAGTACTTGTCAGTTTGGGTGGATTCCTCAAGTTCCTGAGGACACCAAAATGCTTTGAGGTTCCTTCCTTGCCATCTTTCAGGAAAGCGACCTTTGTTCCTAAACCTGGAAAGACTGCCATAAACCAAGGAAGGTACTAGGCAATTTCTCTAAGGTGCTTTGAAAGTCAATCTTAATTTTTTAAGACTTTCTGGTGACGTCCAGAGTCCAGGCATGACTCTTTGATCATGGCATTCCAGACGAAGACTTGCTAATAAAACCACATTTGGAAACTGGTGCTATTGTAAACAGAATAGATTGTTATTGGATTTATGCAAACAAACACATTGCCATGAAAATAATACTCATTCATTAAGAATTGGTGAATTCTGGAGGGATTAGATAGGGAGAAAAACATAAATGTTCTAATATTAGTTGTGAAGGTATAACTTATTAAATTGCTCCAGGAGAAAAAGTTTCCTTATATCTGGAAGACAAGAAGACTTAAAATTAGCAATATTTTGAATCATTTTTTGTCTTATTTGCCTACATTTTCATGAATCCAGTTATTCCTTAGGGTTCCATAAATCTTCACTTACATCAGATATGACTTGATGAGATACCTGTAATTTAAAGTAAGTCAGAGTTCTTTTCATGAACCATTCCAAAGATACATTTTCAAGTGCATTAAATAATACCTGTTTATAAATGATAAAATTTTAAATGACATGGTTATAGATTTGATTATAATACAACTTATCAATTGAATTTTGCTTGTTTGTAAGATATAACATTTCCAAGATAACAACTTCTTGGTAAGTAATAATTACTATGAAATGACATAAAAGAATTATATAGAGCCCACATTTTTACATTCAACACACAATTTCAAAATATATAAAGACCGAACAGTATGCAAGATTTTAAAATGCTGTGTAGGACTTGTCAGATGTGCGCATTGAGTATTAGACAAGATTAATAAATTCCCAAAGTATGGGTTACAAAACTCACATAAAGCAGAGTACTACTGCTTTAGGTCCCCATAGGGAACCATCACCCTTGGCTTGTCCAGTGTCACAGACACTGGACACCCGTTAGCCCTGAGAGTTTTCTGTTTGAACTTGGCTTTAACTTTTTGCAAGTTTCTTGCTAGGGCAGGTTGAAATTTCCAGAACATCTATTTTGATAGAAATATATACATACAAATAGAACATAGTTATTATTATTCTGTTTGACAAAGCTTCTCCTGTAATTTTGAGCATATTAAATAGGTCTAATTTGGCCCTGGCTGGTGTGGCTCAGTGGATTGAACCCTGGCCTGTGAACAAAGAGTCACTGGTTTGATTCCCAGTCAGGGCAACATACCTGGGTTGTAGGCCAGGTCCTCAGTTGGGGACGCACAAGAAACAAACACACACTGATGTTTCCGTCCCTCTCTTTCTCCCTTCCTTCCCCTCTCTCTAAAAAAATAAATAAACAAAATCTTAAAAAAACAAAGAAATAAATAAATAGGCCTAATTGCTCAAAAATATCTCTTTTATAAGGAGAGAGAATAAATGTTTGAGGCGTTCCAGGAGCCATTGGAATAACTCAAAGTCATTTCTCAGTTGGGAAGATTGTAAAATATATTTAACTAAAAGATTATAACAAAATCTTATTGTAAAACAAATAGATATACTTGATAATAACTTTAAGAAAATATTAATCACATTTAAAACCAGGTTTTTTATTTGTTCGCTTTTTAAATTTTATTTATTTTTAGAGAGAGGGGAAGGGAGGGAGAAAAAGAGGGAAAGAAACAGCACTGCGTGGTTGCCTCTCACATTGCCCCCACTGGGGACCTGGCCTGCAACCTAGGCATATGGCCGAATTGGAATCAAACTGGGAACCCTTTGGTTCACAGCCCATGCTCAATCCACTGAGCTACATCAGCCAGGGCTAAAACCAGTTTTGATATCAAATAATTTGTCCAAACCAGTGGATCCTGCTTAATTTATACTAGTATTTAATTTCTTTAGGCCAATAAAATATTACACCCTAGTTATGCCCTCTGGAGGCAGGAAAATGCACCACATGTAAATACATAGCATATCCAGGCCATACATATGAAGACTGAACATATAAAGACCACAAACATAATTTGAATTACTAATTTTTGTAGAGAAAGCACAAGATTTTCACATTTGCTTCTGACATCTTTTAAGAAGACTAGCAGCAACCACTTTCTCTCCCTCTCTCCTTCCCCCACCCCCAAGAAAATAAATAAAAAATATTAAAAAAAAAAAGAAGACTAGAAAAGAGGATCCAACGTCCTAAATACCAAGCAAGAAGATCTGTTGAGACCCCCAATAAAAGCTGTAAGGACTGTTAATGAATAGTGGAAATAATGTCTCAGTCCAAGGAACTGAGCAACAGGAAAAAAGCCTAGACGGGGCTGCTAGGTGCCCCTGAAATGTCAGAAACCCGGTAACAGGAGGTAACTGCTCCAGATAGAGGACTGGGAGTTACAGTCATAAAAATAACTCTGGGTTCCACCAGAGTCAAAGAATGTCACCAGAGAGATATTAGATGGAGGAAGGGGTCCTGGAGCCCGAGGTTTCTTTCTTCACAAATTTGAAACTTTAACCAACTTTCACAAGCCTTTTGGCAAATTTTACAAGCTACCTCCCTAGATTAAGAAACATAAATTTTTGTATTGGCAAATGCACACTCATGTTTTTTATTTCCTCTTGCCTCTTGTTGATAGTTTCCATGTCCTTTTTCATGCTGATATAGTATTCAGTAAGTTCCTTGTAGTTTCCCTATAGTTTTTGATAATTCTCACTCAGCTCATTGAGGTTCCTTATAACCATTGTTTTGAACTTAATGTTTGATAGTTTACTTGCATCTATTTCATTTCACACTCTTTCTGAGGATTCCCCCTTTTCTTTCCATTGGGGGTTCTTTGTCTTCCCATTATTTGTGAGACTCTTCTTGTTTCCTTCTGCTTCTTAAGTTGATCTGTCTGACTCCTTGAGTTTGTAGTGTGAACTTCTATGTTAGGAGACCTGTGAAATTCAATGGCACAGTCTCCTTGATCTTTTGAACTTGATGCTCTTGGAATGCCCTTCATGCTGTTTATGTTGGCTCTCTG